ATTTCAGTTTAAGTTTCGTCTGGTAGCTATATATAGTTACAATGTCAATGACAATAGACCTCTGTGAGAAGAAAAAGAAAAATCGTTTAATAGCTAACACACATTGCAGTCTGTACGACTGAATTTACATGTGAGCGAAATTTACAAGTTAGAATCTACAGTAAAATACGTATAATGTTTACATAATCTTTAACTATTTCCTAATGAACTATAGTAAATTAAAAACCCTAATGTTACTATATAGTCATTATTTTATTTATCAACCATGTACATGGTGTGACTAATAATAAATGATTTTTTAAACCGATCTGTTTTACAAATTGGAGTGTTGAAGAGTCTCGTATTTCTTAAAGACTTGTTGTGGCTTGACTTAGGTAGTAAAAGTTCGGCCAATTTGTGGTTTTTGTCAATAACAATATCATTAGCAATGTCATTAACAATATCATTAGCAATGTCATTAACAATATCTCAATATCTACAATAATTTTTATTGACAATAAATAAAGCTATCCCGAATAACTAAACTTAGATTCAGTTTCGTCATTTGAATTTAGTATAGTTGCAGTATAGCTAGTGTGCTTGCCGTATTCATAAAAATGTTTCATAAGACCAAGCATTGTCGATTTTGATACTGTATGTGAAGGTATGGCTACTGTTATCTTCAACATTCATTCCGTACTTTATAAATTAAACAGAAAACATTGTTTTCAGCATATAAGCTTTAAAATTATATACAATATAACATATATACTGGTACAAATATAATTGATCTAATAGAAACGTTTCTGCGAAATATGCATGGCTCGTTGCTGTACTGATGTGTGATTCGCAAGTTTTGGCCTTTGGGTGCCTCGCACGGCCCGCACTTTATGCAGACCCAAAATTATTGATACTTTCAAATAATCACGATAATAAATTGACAATTTCAACACTGCAAAGTTAGCCTGCTCGCAGACGTTGTTGTTCTTACGCCAAGCGACGAAAAACTACCGTCTGCTTACCCGAGCGCCAAACTGAATTCCGCTACGTCGACCAATCAGAATTTACCTTCCAAATTCTGGAAAGTGACGTCAGTTGATTTAGGAGCGGAATAAATATAAATATATATTTTGAAAGCAGTCGTCGGTTGAATTTTGGTCAAAATTGCAGAGACATAAATTGAATTTGAAGAAACTGATACTTGTCCAGGTAATAAAATGCACCATTAATGATCAGATTTGGATATTAAAGATGTTCGGTTATATTTAAAACGCGGACAGGATTGGCATATTTAATATACTGTATGAATCTAGGCCAGACAGCATCAAATGCCGAATATATTTCGCTGAAATTTGAACTTTTGACGGATGTTTATCTTTATAAGACAACATGAACTCGGAAAACAGAAAATTTTATATAATATTGTGGCCTAGAAAGCGAAATATTAGGTTCAAAGTAAACTAATTTGCTGTTTGAGCAACCACTTCTGAATGTAAACTGTAAACACAACACAAACCCGAGAAATTTGTATTAAATGTAAAATTGCGCCATGATGAATTTTCCAATTCGCCCAAACTTCGAAACGTTTATACTCTAACTTGGCTATACTTTTCTACATGACAATGAGAGCTTAATCTTTTAGAAGTTTTCGTCGAAGTCATACATATAGGAAGTATCAAGAGCAACATTTGGACATATCCTGATATACTCGAGTTTCCCGATTGATTGTTTGTCATTGTTAACAAAAATTTCGCCTACTGCATTGCTTTGCACTTTATATACACCGATTGTTTGCTCAACATGCGAGAAGATGATCACAATATTATTCAACGTAAACATCGTGAAGTTCAACGCTATAGTTTCCAAAATATATTCACGCAAGTAAACAAATTTCAAGCCAAACAAGGAAAGAGCCTGGGAACGAAGTTGTATATTCCAATGTATGTGCAAGGGTTTTCCCCAGTAGCTAATCTCTCAATAAGGCGGCTTCCAATTGGCTCTGACTCTTTTGAACACTACCATATGATTGGCTCCTAAAACAAAGGGAATTGAATATGCAGCTCGGGTAAGCAGACGGTAGTTTTTCGTCGCTTGGCGTAAGAACAACAACGTCTGTGAGCAGGCTACTGCATAGTAAGCTATTTTGAATTTTGTGTAAGAACTTATCTACTAGAAATACACGCATGCAGCATGCAACAACCCCTCGCCTATATTTTCCAAACATTGTGTCAACATGAAGTATTCGTAATTAGGCCGGCAACACTGAGCGCATGCTCGCGTTGCTCACAGCTAACGTCATGTTAGCCATGGCAACACGATAATTGTTTTTAAGTTTTTGTATAAAACTGAAAAAGAAGATGAAACTTGAACACTTTTAAATACAGAACTATCAATTTCTAAAATATATAAAGTAGGTATATTATTTTGCTTTCTATCGGCTTTATTTTAATGTAAAATTCAACACGAAACTCTTCGTAAAACGTTTTTAAATGTGAATTGAAATTAACTGCTTTTTTGCCGATAAACTCTTCAACTCGAGCTTCAACTTATTACTCGCTATTTGAAATGAAGTATATTTAATTCATACAGGACGCTAACGAAAATAGTTTGCTTTTCTTTTTTTCATGAACTTCCACAAAAGTTAATTTAACTAAGAAACTTTCACATACAATGGATAGGAAAGACTTGAACAACATAAACAAAGTCTATAATAATACAAAGTCATACATAAACAATTGAAACAAACTTGCCTTATACTTTAGGATTTCTCATACTAAATCAATTCTTAGTGAAAAACAGTTTTACAATTTGTTATGTGAAACGATTTTCCAAACTTTCTCACATGTTTTTTTTATATTTTTGCCTCCTTCACTCCTGGCAAACAGCCATGTTTTGAGATCAGTGAGATGACCACCCATCATAGTTCAATGCCACCCATACACCATGCGCCCGCGATATTTGATGAACTTTAGATTTCGCTAGTGCGTTCCTTTCCCCGGGTGTAAATAGCTGGGAAGAATTAGTACCCTCGCCCCGGGCTTACGCCCGTAACGGCGCTCCGCGCCGTTGGCTCGGGGATAATTTACGAACTCCAGTTCTGCGGACTTCCCAGGTTTCAGACTCAATGACAAATTTAGCCGCTATGCTTTATTAGATTTTATTTTTGTGAACTGGCAGCCAATCTTCAAAAGGAGCTTATGAGTTCTGAGTTATTCTGTTTTTCACTAGCTATGAGTCAACCGAGTCATTGAGAATTTCCGTAAAAACGTTAAAAACAGTAAGATGTAATATTTCAAATCCGACTGTGACGACTGGACTAGATTTCAAGTCCGCGCAATTTGACGAAGTCCGAGGTGAAGCCGAGGACTGGATCAAAAGGCGAGGACTTGAAATCTAGTCCAGTCTGAATTGGCGGATTTGAAATGACATCTCATACGAATAAATCACCACTTAATTAATTTTGATCCAGTCCAAGGACTGAATTATAAATTTTGATCCAGTGAAACGATTTTCCAAACTTTCTCACATGTTTTTTTTTATATTTTTGCCTCCTCACTTTTGGCAAACAGCCATGTTTTGAGATCAATGAGATGACCACCCATACACCATGCGCCCGCGATATTTGACGAACTTTAGACTTCGCTAGTGCGTTCCTTTCCCCGGGTGTAAATAGCCAGGAGGAATTAGTACCCTCTCTCTAATCTTCTTGGTTTTTGAATTGGGAGGTAATCCTGCTAAACCATACGTTTATGTAAATAGAGTATATTATGCATGATTGTTTTATAGTTAATAATTTTAATATTTTTATAATAATTTATAGTAAGTGTGCACGGCCCTTTGAATAAATAATAATAATAATAATAATAATAACTGGATCAATATACTTCATCAGGTATCCAGTATTATCATGCGAGCAAAATAAAGCACTATATGGTTGGCTAATTTACTCATGAATTATTAGTGAGTTTGAGATTAAAGTTCAAAGACAGAAAACAGATGCTGAATGGAATTTATTCGATTTCTGATGAAGGCTCTGCATGTACCTCAAGCATTCCAATAACTCAAGGGCGGGTTATCGCCCCAAATATTACAACAAATAATTTTAATCTATTATTCACTTGACATGTTGGACCAAGAATATTTGTAATTATCTCGTGTTCAAAACGTTCTAAAACTTGTTGGAAAATGTGTGGAAAGCTATATCCTTTATGTTAATTATAAGTAGAAGAATATATTTTCTTGATGGTATAATTTGTACACGTGACGATATAATTTGTAAGAAATATAACAGATTTAAAAATCTCTACTCATTATAAGTACTAGATAAAACATGAGCTAGCGAGAGTTTGTATATCAGATACTGAGATCGGATGCGAATGTTTTATCGCACTCAAAAAATGACTGGCCCATTTTATGAGTTCATTGGCAAAGTAATTTTGAAAATAAACATTGTCTAAACTGAGAAAATCAAAGCTGAAGTTTATGTAAATCACGATAAATCTTTATCCGATTTCCTAATTCGCCGAATTCAAAAGGTTGCTCTATCCGTTACTGCTTTTGAGATCAGTGATGCTAAGGTACAGTAGCTTTACAATAGATCCTCGACATCTTATCCTCGACCCTCGATCTTTATAACCCTTGACCATTGTGGTCAAACTCGTTATTTGCTTCACACGATGCGGAAAAACCGGTTAGATTTCCTTAAAATTCCTTAAATTGGTCTGATCACATAGTTGCAAAAAGTTTTTTTCTCCGTTTTTGCTGTTTTTCAGTCTTTCAACCTTGTTTCTAAGCACTAAAAACTGAAAACATTTGATTGTTAGCATAATGTCATAAAGAAAACATTCAACATGATGTATTTTTAATCGTTGCTGCATGAAGAGCTTAGAAAATCTGTAGATTTCAGAAGAAACAGCATATACTGACATTTAACTTTTGAGAATTTTAATGGAAAGACAGCCATATGTACATTTATGACATAGAGAACATACGAATATATGTAATTGTGTGCGTATAATGTTGCTACTTTCAAGTTTAAATCTCATTTGCGTGGCGTGGTTATCCTCCGTCCAACGTTTTTAGTCCAGGATAAAATGTTTCGGAAATTCCTTAAAAAAATCCTCAAAAACCTAAATTCCTTAAAAAAATCCTTAAAACTCTTCAAAATTCCTATTTTTAAGGATAATTCCTTAAAAGTGAGAGCACTGCTCTCTGCAACCGCGCGAAATTCCCACTGAAATTCCCTGCCCCCTGGGAGTCTGGGAACCAAAATGCCCTTATAAATCCGCCATTTTGTGGAGACAAATTTTTCACTGAGAAAAGATAGGAGTACGCATTCTATATCTATTATTTCTATGGTGCATACACACAGTAAAGCAAGCGTGTAGTACACGCCAACGCGGGATTATCGCGTGGTGGATTCTAAAAACAAACCAGATGATTAGCACATTTGTCTTATTTTATATTTAAAGGCGTTTTCTTGTTTCGTTATTGTTTGTATGCTTTAAGCATTTCCAAGTGGGAAATATTTGGTTTGTAATAAGAACATTGAAGTGGAAAAAACGTTCTGCAGAAGTTAAATACCTGTTGATGTATGCGGTTTAGAACGCTTGTCACGAGAGAAAAAGTCAGAAATTTTGCTAACTGAGATTCGGTATACAGTGGTGTAATTGTTGCTTACAAACAACAGTGAAAGATGGATTCAAAAAGACAGTGGAAAAAGATAGATTTTGAGAAAAATGAATTTCACGCTATGGTGAATTCCACGCTATGCCAAAAAATTGTCATTTCCATTTTAAAAACTTCATGAAGGAAGATATCTCTTTTAAGACAAGAAATGTTGTATACATGGAGGGGTCGTCGATTTTTGCATGATGTTTGTCATATTAACCTTCGTTATAGGTATGTTGCCATAACTGCAGAAGAAATGAAGAATATTCTTAGTTCTGTCAATAAACAACCACCTGCATTGTCTGGCATTGATTTGTTAAAGGAGGTTTGTAGATACAGCGCTCAAGGATAATTGTATGTTTAAAGAGAAAGTTTTATTCACATCTGATGATTCAGGATGTTCTCTTGCTACGACAGCCTCCAAAATACCTTATTTCCCCCTGCTTAGCCCTTAACCTCATTTTCAACACCCACCACCACCATCACCATCTAATCTGCCTCCATGCAATCCAGAAGCGCTGAATTAATTAAATCGTTCTCAATAGAAACAATTATAGCGGAATATGAACACAAACGTTTTATATAACTTTTACTGATAATGTTGCATGTGTATATGCACAACCTTCACTTATAGCTAAATAAATGTAAATTGTATAAGCATTTATCCAAACACCG